TCACAGGGACTGTTCTGCCCAGGATGGCTTCGAATTGTGATCCCCTCAGATCTTAGCCTTCTGAGTAGCTAGGATTACAGGTGTGAGCCACTGGTACCCAGTATTGCCTGCCTTCTGGTCAATATTTTCCCTTCCCACCATTCCTATAAGTGTTATCATACAGCATATGTATGGCAAAAGAGAAAATAGTGTTCTACAGAATTTTGATGTAGTTCCTATTCCCTAAAGTAAGAAGTGATATTTAACCCCAGCCATTCACAGTGTTTATTCCTAGACCTATACTATTTATATTTAACCTTGTAGCAGAAGTTCCTTACCAGAATTTTAGTCAGGTGACTTCTTCTGAGTGGGTTTGGAGTCGGAACATTTATTTCATCCTCTCTGAAATCACTGCATATCTCTGTCACTTCTACTTTTCCTTGTATTATGCTTTTATTTTGGCACAAATTATTTTTTTCATCAAATAAAGAGGAAGAGTAGAGATTATCACATGACATTAAGTTTCTTTTGCTTGGCACCTAGTGTTTGTTATTCTTTTGTTACTATAATCATAACTGTATCTTTTTTTTAATTGTGAAAATACTATACAGAGGAGTTTCAATTACATGGGCAAGATAACGAGTTCATTTCTCTTTTTTTCTTTTTTTTAAATTAATTAATTTATTTTTTATTTGTGAACATACTGTACAGAGGGGTTACAATTACATGGGCAGGATAATGCATACATTTCTTACCAAGCATTGCAGCCTCCTCCTTTGGTTTACCCTTCACATCCCTTCCCAGCCTCCCCCCTCCCCCCCAATCCCAACCCTTCTCCTCCCCCCCTTCCCCCCCCCCGACCGACGTTGTAAAGCTCGTTTTGGACATGACAACTTATACTTCTCGTTGTTGCATCAGGTCCACCTGTATCCTTAAACAACTGTTTTTTCCCCCTCTCCTCCACAAGTTATACTGACATCAAATATAGTGAAAGCAGGGGTTATATTGTGGGGGAGGGACATACAAAGCAACAAAGAGATAGTCTTATAAATGCGTTAGAAACACATGCATGAAAGAAAAAACATTAAAATACATGTCTAAGGGTTCATTTTCCTGACATCACATTATCTGACCTTTTCCGCTTGACTTATACATATACTAGATGTTGCAAATAAGGGAGACCATGGGGCCTATGTTTCTTTGGGCCTGGCTTACTTTCCATTTCCTAACAAATGGGGCAATGCCATTCTTTCTGATGGAGGCATAGTATTCCATTGTGTATATATACCACATTTTCTTGATCCATTCATCTAACCAGTTCATTTCTTATCAAGCATTGTTGCCTCCTCTTTGTTTCCCCTTCTCATCCCATACTCCCCCTACTTCCCCCCACCCGATCCCCCCCCCCGACCAAAGTTGTAAAGTTCGTTTTTGGACATAATGACTTGTACATCTCATTGTTGCAATGGGTCCACCTGTATCCCTAGTTAAATGATTTGTTTTTCCCCTTCCCCTCCACAAATTATACCAACATCAAATACAGTGAAAGCAGGGGTTATACCATGGGGAAGGGACATACAAAGCAACAGAGAAATCATCTTATAAATATGTTAGAAACAATTGCATGAAAGAAAAAAAACATTTGAATACTTATCTTGGGGTTCATTCCCCTAACATCAATTTATCTGACCTTTTCTGCTTGACTCAGACATATACTAGTTATTGCAAATAAGGGAAACCATGGGACCTATGCTTCTCTGGTCCTGGCTTACTTCACTTAATATAATTTTTGACTTCAAAAAAAGCCACTCCTTTCATGTGGCTTAAGACATGTGATTGAAGCTATGAGGCTTTCCCTTCCCAATCACTTCAAAACAGTGACAAAGCTAGGAAGTATGAATTCACAGCTGAGAGGCTATGGAGACAGTCTCTGGACACAGCTCACTCACAGCCAGCTACAAACCCAGGGCAAGATGGGTTCACCAGGTTTTTTCACTAAAGTGTGCTGAAAGGAAAAGCCAGACTGAGCACTGAGTGGTCACTCATCCAAAGAGAAGCACAGTTGCTCTGATGGCATCAAGGAGCATGTGAGCCAGAAGAGTATGTGGCTGAGGCTGGAAGGCTTTTCTTACTCAACCTCTCTGCAGAGTGCTTGAGTGTGCCAGAAGTACTTTCAAGAGATACCATCAGGAAAGCCCCTGGGCTAAAGACGCCTGAGGAGAAGCACTGATCCTTAGAAGAGTGCTTTGTATGCTAAGATGGGCCAGACCAGGTGAATGTGCACTGGGATTTCTTTCTCATCTTCTGTGGTTGTTGCTGTTATTTTGGTGGTACTGGGGTTTGAATGCAAGGCCTTTTTCTTGCTAGGCAGGTGCTCTGCCAATTGATCCAATTGAGCCCTTTTTACTCATTTTTGAGATAGGACCTCACTTTTTGCCTACGCTGGCCTAGAGCACAGTCCCTGATGATGCTTCCTGTTGTGGCTGGTGCAAGCTAGCTTACACAGCTTTTCTGTTGGAATGGAGTTTTTCAATTTTGTTTTACCAGGTTTGCTTCAAGCCATAATCTTCCTAATCTGGACGTCCTGAGGAGCTGCAATTACAGACGTGAGACCTTCCCTATCTTTCACACATGAGCGGTGAGTAAGGTGACTGTCACTTTACAGACACAGCACAAGGACCCAGATTGTGGTCAAACCCTTTAGTTCTTCCCCTGCATGGCTTTTGGACAGTTCTTTCAGATGGGGTAATTCTAAGAGCAACACAAAAGGCATCCCAAAATGCATATCTGGACTAGTCTTAATCTGATTCAGTAAGGGTTTGAGTTAACACTTCAAACATTAATGTTTTGGCCTTGGATTTTTATCAAGCTGATGGAATGGGTCTTTTCAGCTATATTGCTTTTAGGCCATGATGATCTTAATAAACAATGACAATTTACCCAACTCTGAAGCACATCTTACTCAACCCTAAATGCACATTTTACTGTAGTCAGATATCCTCTCATTATCAATGGCAGTTTCCATAGCACAGCGACAAAAAATATTTCAAATTCCTTTTGGTATTAAAAATAATCCTGCAGTTGTCTATGTTTTTCCCACAGCTTCAAAAGAATTATAATAAATTCTCTCTTCCAATTTGGAGGCATAACATACTTAATTTTAATTTGGCTCAAGATCTTGGAAAATACTTGAACTTGTATGCACAATAAAATGCCTAAGCTAGAGAACTGCACTGATAATAAATGTAGCATAATAAAGAAAATCCCATATTGATATTACAGTCATAAGCACCATGAATGAAATTGAGTATAAAAAAGCTTCCAGAATAATCACCGCATAATTGACACTGAATAATATTTAATATCTGAATTCATGCCTTGGCAGAAATACCTCCTAAATCATCTAAGGAAAGATTGTCAATTATAAATAATACTGATATGCTTTCTAGAAAAAATGTGCAATACTTTAGGAAAGAAATGGAGCTAAAGTAGAATAATCAATCTCATAAAGAAAGAATAATGGAATCTTCTCATAGAAATGGTATTCACCTCATTCACCTGCTTCTGAAGGAAGACTAAGATTTTGAATCTGCCAAGAGTGTCTTCATTCTGAGCTGTGGTTAAATACATATAAACTTTGCTAGAATAAAATGCAACTCCCTCAGCAGACATGCTAACCCATGATTCTCAGGCTGAGAAAGTCACCTAGGTACTTCCCCAGAGCTGCCATCAAAAGAAGGGTTGCATATATTGCTTAAAAAGCCAACTCAGGTGCGGCAACAGTGACACACACCTGTAATCCTAGCCTCTCAGGAGGTTGATATCTGAGGATTTTGGTTTGGAGCCAAGCAGAAAAGGTCATGAGACTTTTATCTCCAATTAATTTCCAAAAAGTGGCTTAAGTGGTAGAGCACAAGACCTGAGCAAAGAAAAAAAACTTAGGGAAAGAATCCCAGTACTGGTATATAAACGCACCCAGTACTGGTATACACACACACACACACACACACACACACACACACACACACACACACACACACACACACACACACCATTTAAGGCAACAAAGTGATTCATATTCAAGTTTAAAATGCCCTTCATTCAACTTTTATACTCTCATACTGTCACCCCCGCAGTAGCAAAGCAACTGCTCCCTTCTGCTTGGAGATTGCCACGGACAGTGACTTCAGATCTTCAAATGACAGCCTACTTTACTACAAGATGTCACAGTTCAGAAAGTCCTTCTAACTACCAGGCCTCGTGCCCACCAGCTCATGTCCACCTTCTCTATGCAACTGGGAATGAATTTGGTCCCTTAACCATATGGTTCTCCAGATATTTGAAACCATGAATTTTGGTTATCTGTTTGCAGCAAGAAATCATTCACTGGCCTGGTGTGAACACTGCTACAATATTTGTAAGGCTTTGCCATGAGATTTCAGCATACAGTGCTGGAATTAACAATTGCCATTAAAAAAGCTACTCCAAGACTTAGCAGCTTTAAGCAATGGCAACATTTATTATACATGTACATCTTTCATTTGGGCAAGGCTCAGTGGACATAGCTTGTCTGTCCTTCACTCCACTCAGAGGAAGGGACAAGGGCTGTCAGAAGATGCTCATGTCTGGCCATAGATATTGCAGAAGATGCTCATGTCTGGCCATAGATATTGCAGAAGATGCTCATGTCTGGCCATAGATATT